GTGTTGTCCACATGTCAAAAACACGGCAGGACGTTCATCACAGTGCGGCATCATACAGTTCTGATAGCGTCCTTGGGCACAATAGGGACAACGTATATCTGGGTGATAGGGATGTGTACAATGAGGAAATGTTGGACACCCTTCAGGACAGACGGCGGCAGTCGCAATAGATTGATAATGGCTATGGCATAGATGATGCATTCCACAGCCAAGGCGCACCGCGTCTCTGCGACAGCACACGTCTCAGAGGAAAAAATGTTCATTCCCGGTTTCCAGCAGGTGTCGCTCCCCACCAATAGACACGGAGCTGCCATGAGAATTTTGAACTTGACAAAAACACTGCAAGGAATATGAGCAAGAGCGATATACAGAAAACCAAGTTGCGAAATCACACAGATGTCCAAGTAGTCATGTGCGAGCAAAGAGTGCAAATGCACCGAGATTCCATCCAGATAAGAGCAATACAATGAACTCACGAGCCAATGTCCAAGCCCTCAGGCCACACCAACACCGTATCCAATGTCGCTCCTACTCTGTCTGGCGCCCAGCGCCCAGCCTACACTACTCGCCTATCCTACTACACCAGTGTTCACGCAACAGGCTCATTTCGACCTTGACGACCAATGTACATGAAGCTGACCTCCCTCATGCACCAGGTATGTATCTCATCTCTACTCATCACCCCTGACTTCCCACAGTGTGCATTCTCAACACCCAAAGACCACCATCGCGAGTCGTGCGCTCAGCAACCCGGCTATGGTTGCCGTGCGCCCACTGGCCAGCAGTGCACCTGACACCTCAGCGCCCGTGTGCGGGACCCAGCCGGCAGCTTCGTGTCAAACACGAAGTCGCAACGCAGCAGCGCGGCCGCATTGCCTGCCCAGGCCAGAATGACCTGCCCAGCGATGCTCACTTTCCTATATGGAAAGTGAGCTCAGACTCTGCTGCCTCTGGGCCTGGCTGTGTGAGCATCCAGTAGCTTCCAGTCGGGCCCCAATGCCTGCGTCCAGGCCCAGTTGCAGTTATGGGGGCCTGGGCCCTTTACAGTTGGGCACGTCCAGGCAGTCCACGGACCTCCACATGTTCGCAACATGTTCGCTGTGATCTCATTGGCTCACGGCCACTTTGTGCCAACAATGCTGCAAACTCATTGGTCCGCGGCTGTTGTATGATGTGTCGGCCTCTGAAAGCACACGTCCATGGCCTTAACTGTACGGGGCCCTGGGCTCAACTGCCCATCGAGGCTGCAGATTCCGGAAAGAGTCTGGAGAGGCTCACGTTGCTCTGTAACCAACTGGCATGCTGCAACTGTCTGATACCCACATACGGAAAATTTCAAATCTTGGCCTCTTGTGAATATTCAGGCCCGCCTTGACTTAGGGCGGGCACAGGGCTTGCTGAGGGCCTCTGCCCAGAATATGTATGTGCATGACATTCTGTTAAGGGCCCCGTGAGGGCTCTTTCCCCACACATATACGATCCCTTTAGGGTGATCACACTGGCCTGTACCCAGGCCTTGGCACATATTGGCGGGCCCGCCTTCACTTACGGCGGGAAAGGCCTTTCCCAGCACTGCCGAGGGGTCAAATCCTCGCAACACCGAATTTGGAAAAAATAAAATAAAATGGGGAACTCCGAAAGCTACTCTGAATAGGGTTTTGTAGTGTTTTTGAGGGGGGAAGGGGGGGGGGGGGGGGGGGGGGGGGGGGGGGGGGAGAGAAGGGGGGGAAAAGGGTCTGTCTGTTTTTTGCATGTTTGGTTTTGTAACTTTTGTATTATGGGGCTGCATTGTTTGTTTGCGAAATTTTCGATGACATTGCTTGTGGTGATCCGGCGAAATCCCCCGAATTTTGCGCCTTCAATTAACCATCTCTCCTGGGTATATAGTATAATATGAACACCTTGGCAACCAGTGAGTGGGTAAACTTAAACCACCAGTTCTTTCGAGGCACTTTTCTCTGGGGCTGAAATGGCCTGCGCACCCAAAAAAGAAAACGAAATGGCGCGGGGGGCCTCGTTTTGGCTGGTGCCGCCAGCCAGTTTGCTCCAGAAGCTGAGCCCCAAACGTTGTGGCTGCATGCACGCCACCGCATATTTTAGTCTTTGGCTGGGAAACATACTGGTGGTTTAATATTTTTCCAGTCCAGTTGTGGCCCACATAGCTGGATAGAGGGGCATGATGAGCAGGGGAAAAAAAAAAAAAAAAAAAAAAAGCAGCGAAATCGTGCAATTAGCATCCAATGATTCGATGCCTGCAAGTGTGTGAACTTTTGTCCTTCTCTTTGTTCTGTTATTCTTTTGTTTTCAATTTCCATTTGTGGTTTTGCATCACATCTTCCCCTTCCCAATGCTTTGTACAAGTTTTTTGTGATTCAACGAACTTTTGCAAGTTTGTCTTTTTTAACTTTTTTAAGTTTTTGTCTTTTTCGGGTTTTCGTTTTGTGTCCTCGTTGTTGTTGTTTTTTTGTTTTTTTTTGTTTTTGCAGTTTTCTTGGTTTGTTGTTTTCTTGTTGTCTTTGTCCTTTCGGTTGTTTTCTTTCGATTTCGTTGGTTTTGTTGATTTTCATGTTTCTCTTTATTGCCGAATTTCTGCCGTCCTTTTTTTTTTTTTTTTTTTTTTTTTTCCTACCAGAATTGCGAAAACAATTGGGGACACGCGTGCCAAAGTTGCTGAAAGGGGATTCAATCGGCCACTCGTGCGGGTACTTGTTTCGAGGAGTGGATTGCTCAGCCGATGATCCGATGCCTGTGAGTGTGCGCTGCCGAGATGGCGACAGGGACTTGCACTTGGAGGATTGTTCAGAAACTTTGAGAGACTGCTGCATGTGGTATTTTTAGTATTTGTTGTCTTTGTGGTGGTCCCCACCAATGGACTGGAGCGACCAGAAGTGGGTCTCCTAGTGGGAAGGGCCCATATCGCCTCCCTTAGTAAGTGGGAACCTGTTTTTTATTTATTTATGAAAAGAGGTATTTAGCATGGTTGTCCTTCGGGACATCCGTTAAAATTGGAACGATTCAGAGAAGATAAGCATGGCCCCTGCACAAGGATGACACGCATAAATCGAGAAATGGTCCAAATTATATATATATAAAAAGTTATTTAGCATGGTTAAGCCAGACCCATACGCTGGACCAGTCCAGACGTCCGGGCGGACCTGTGCCTGGACTGCTCCAGACCGTTCGGATTGAAAAAAGTAAAAAAAAAAAAACTTGTTAAGTTT